GTCCAGCAGATGGTGCTGCGTTGCCGCAACATTTCACAGCTTTGACCTTTTTTCTGCCAGTGAAAAACAGATAAGATGCTAATAAATAATGACAGTAAAAATAATAGTTTGTGTTTTATATGCGTGTGATTTACAGCACATTATGATTTTTTATTACTTTAAAGAAAGTAATGCAAAATAAAATGAGGGATGTTTTTTCTAAAGGAGACCATTTTTGTAGTCTTTGAAAATGATTTTGAGTCATTGATGTTTTTTTTGATCAGTCACTGATTGTCTCAGATGCTTGATGGAAATGAAAAACTCCTCAGCTCGTATTTAAAAAAAATGCTTTTTGGGTTTTAAATAGAAATAAAAAAAAAAACAGACTTATGTAGATTTACCAGCTTTTAAAGAATTTAAATGTTTTGTTGTTTTTTTATTTAGATCATTTCAATATTTTTTCATTTTGTTTGAGGATGAAATACAATGCTACGTCTGAAAAGAGATGGACCAATAAGAACTTCAATCTTAACGTCTCTAAAACCAAGGATATGATTGTTTACCGAACTTTGACCTCTAGAAATCATGAATTCATATTTTTGAGATACAATTTTGTCTATTTTATCTTGTCGATAAAACTTATTAAACCCTTTTCTGATTAAACATGAAATCAAACTGAAAGTTTCTAAGGTTGAGATGATGGACTTCTACAGGAAGTGGTTTAGTTAGAATAAAGTAATGAAATGTTATTAATGAAGTTATAAAAGATGGAAAAGCTCAATAATAAAACATAAACAATAGTGATGCAACAATCAGACCCCATCTAATGTTCTTCATCTTTAGTTTAAAAATCTAAATGTATTCATCCTTAATATTAACATGAATTAAAACTCTCAAAGTTTCTAAACTTAGAGCCTCCCTTCATAATAAAAGCCTCCTGCAATATATCATCATAACTGCTTGTTTCTTTATCTGTTTCCTTTAATAATAATAATGAGAAAACTCTATAAATTAAACAGGTGTTTTGCAGCTGGTTTTGGGATTTGAAAGAATATTTAAGAGTTTAAGACAAACTTCTATTTGTTTCTGAAGGCCGCCCCTATTTAACTTTCAATGGAAAAAGAAATACTGAAAGAGATGCTTGGGGTTCAGGCGGGTTGGAACTTTGGTTGTAATTAATGTCCCCATAAATCAGCAGATTGTTGCGGTTCTGATCTGAAGCAGCTTCTTCAGAAACCGTCTGACTTTTCTCTCCTTCCTGCGTTTCCCTTCCAGGCTACAGGCGTGCGAGAGGATCTGCTCCTGGTCACCGTCCTCCCAGGTTTACCCACAGCCGCCGAGTTCTTCCTCCTGCCTGACAAGCAGCTCACCGAGGGCAAACCAGAGAAGAGCTCAGCTCATTTAGATCAGGTGAGCCCGCAGCATCATTCCCCTCCTCCGTGTGTGGGGGTGGATGCGTGTCGCCTTGTTATCCTCGCTCAAACTGTTACCCGACACGTAGCCTCATATTGTTTGTCCCTGCTTTGTGACTCACAGTCTCTCCCTGCAGCAGCTTGTCCATTAATGGCTGCTGAACATTTTAAACCCCTGGTCTGTAGTTCCTATTGTCCACCAGCAGATGTCACTGTTAATCTGCTGGAGAATATTTGTTCCCGGAGTCTAATTTAGGAAACGCCTGAGGAATCTGAGCAATAGACTCATCAATAAGCCTGACAAGTATTATGAGTGAAAGGAGTGACTTTTAGACTTACATGATGTTGATGGTGGTGGGAGGGGAGGGATAGAAAGACACTTTCACCTTTAATCGACACAATCCGGACCTGCTCTGTCTAACCTAACATATGATGATGGATGCAAGCAGCAGGAAGTATCCACAGATAGAAATCCTCCATTTTCCTCTTCTTCTTTTCCCTCCCTCCTGCTCGATGTTCTGTAAAAGTTCCTCCTCCCACCAAGCCGGCCATAAATCTTCATTCAAGGCTGGCGTCTTTTAAGTGCGAAGTTGGCTCCGCTTGTTAGAAGCTGAAACAGATTTCACTGACCCTGCTATGCAAACGGTGAGAATGTAATTAGTCAAAGCGTGGACTAAATTTAAACAGTACAAAGGGGAGCATGAAGAAGTACAGGAATTACTCATATCACAATTAATTTAGCAAATGAGGCAGATAAGATAAATGAAGTCTATGCAGCAGAGAGGGAGAGGAAGTGTTTGCTTTAATTATTCAGCTCCATGTGGGCTTCCTTTATGCAAAGAAAGAAAATAGCAGCAAGTATTTATTTTTTACATTCTGTAGGCGCGTCGATGGAGAAGGTTTGTGTTTGGGTGAATAAAGGCAGCGGAGGTCAGATGTGTGGTTTAGCTCTGGGTCACAGTAATCTTCTCCCAGTTTGGCGTCCTCGGTGCAGAAGGTCGATCAGCCGCCTGAAAGCGACGATCAGATGGGGGCTGCACGGCTTGCATTATGCATCATGGTTAGGAAAGGTCCCACAGACAAAGACTCGTACATAAACAGGAGCAATCGCCTGTGTGGGCAGGGACGTTTCTCTGGGTCAGGGCCACGCTGATAAGGTTTGGTATTTAGAGTCATTCGGTATTATGAGCTGCAGCAACGGTCTCTGGGTCACAGCTGATTAAAGTTTGGTTTTTTATCTGTTCTGTTTGACTTCTCTTTAGGTTTTTGAAGGTTGTGTAAATTCACTTTTTAAATTAACAGGTTGTGATGTCATTCAAGGTGCAATATACACTCTTTGCATTCAGATAAAGGATTTTACAACTCTGTATTATTATTATTATTATTGGCATTATTATTATTGCCTTGGCTTTGAAAAGGGAAGGGATTAGTGATAAAGTTCTTGAAAGGAGCATGAAATCTTTCTTATTGAGGCCCCGT